AACGTCTCACGAATATTAAAATAATTAAACAAACGAAGGGGGTATTAACTAACACTTTTTTGATTTTTAGCTCATTTTTCATTAAAAAAATGCATTKCGGTCTTTAAATGCTATATACAGTATCACAGTATCCAGAATTCAAATTCATTGATAAAACAGCTATATATTCTTACTTTTAGATGGTCGCCCTGCCTTCACCTATGGACACAACGCTTGACATAGCTTTRGGCAAAACATGGCATCGTATCCGAACTGTWCTATCTCCTTCYTTTAGTTCCCATAAACTCAAATCGATGATTCCTCTGATGAATGATACTTGTGACTCTTTGTTGAAAACGCTGGATAAAGCTGCTAAAGCCGGGGAAAGTATCGATATATTAAAGTATGTTGCTATGACCTCGAACCTCGTTATGCATGTTGGGTAAATTAATATTCTCTTTGTTTAAGATGCCAGCAGTCGTTGAGTATCGATACGATTTTGTCTACGGCTTTCGGTGTCCAAGGTGACTACATGAATAACCAAGACGATCCTTTGATGAAAACAGCATACCGAGCCATGCACCCAGGACCGCTCAGCYTTGCTCTTCTGRTTATCCTACCCATGTTGCCTTTCGGACAGTCCTTATTGCAAGTCAAAAGTTTAACGAAATGGATTTTTAGAGAGAACTGGAAGCTKCTCGGCATTACGCGAAAAATTGTCGAGTTGAGACGAAAGGAGGGTTCTAACAGAAAGGTAAGGTTTGGTGTTGGAATATATAAATATTTTTTGATCAATATTCAGGATGTATTCACCATCAAATAACATGGAATCCGGAGCGTTTCTTGATTCCAGATTTCTATTCCAAGATCTTGAATAAACACCAGGGAACAATTTGCATGGATTCGATCGCTGATCTGGACTCCACTTTATTGGATCAACAATGCACATCATGCTATCGCTTTTTCGYCGACAGTGACTTGTTTACAATTATGAGGATAAAATTGAAGTCACTAATTGGGTTCCAGAATCCTATAGCTTGATTGTTTCCATTTTTTGTTTCCTATAGCTTGTTTTTGTTTCCATTGGCCCGGATGATTCCGGAATTAAATTATCTATACAATTTTTCAGGACTTTTTGGATATCATGATCAGCTCACAAGGCCCAGACGTGCCAGAAGACAAAAAGCTCAGCGATGGCGAGATTGCCATGCAGTCAGTTWCGTTCATAATGGGTGGTTACGATACATCGAGCACGACTCTTGGGATGCTGTGTTATTACCTGGTCGCAAACCCTGATATCCAGGAACGTCTACAGCAAGAAGTTGACGACGTATGGACGGAAGAAGATGAAATGCCGTCATACGAAACAGTTCAGGARATGCAGTACCTCGACATGGTGATCTCGGAAACCTTAAGACTCTGTCCTGCAGGTAAAAGCAGTTCTTAGAATGAGTCCAGTTTTTACTTAGTGTCAACAGCATTGATTTCGAGCTTTTGCTGAAAACTCCTGAAAAGGATGGCAAACGTTCATGAAGTTAAATTTCTTTTATTTTTTATTTTTTCAGGTAACATGCTTTGGCGTGACTGCACCAAAGAATGTACCATCGAAGGCATAAAGTTCCCAAAAGGATCTCTGGTCGTCGTCCCTGTCTACAGCATACACAGGGACCCCAATATTTACCCCGATCCGGACAAGTTCGACCCAGAAAGATTCACGCCCGAAGCAAAGCAATCACGTGACCCCTATCACTATYTACCATTTGGAACCGGGCCTCGTAACTGCATTGGAATGAGATTTGCGCTGATGATGATCAAGTTGGTCGTTACCAGACTCCTGAAGAAATTCACTTTGGTGACTACCGAGCAGACGGAAGAGCCCTATTTGGAATCGAATTTGGCTCTTGGTCCTACAAATAGGCTGATAGTAGGGGTAAAGTACAGGGAACCCGCGTGTTCCTAACGGGTTAAAAACGACTAGCGAATGATATGATTTATCCAGGCTTGTGTGGTTTTCGCTGCTTACGTTCGAATGTCRATGGCACATGCTGTTATGGAGAAGTCTTAGAAGAAAAACTTTCTTTAACATAGCTTTTRAAATCATATGTCTGGTCCCTAATGTGTATCACTAGCATTGCTYTACGTTGATTCAGGTGTAATAAACTAAATGGTGTAATTTGGTTGCATTAAAAAAATATATATATGACCGGCCATCCAATTTTAAAACGTCACTCGTTCAAGAAAGACAACAAAAGAAGTGKTGACGTTTAASTTAKCKTCACTGAGTTTACGTTATMTGGSGGCCACAARCCGGTAGAAGAGATAAWCCCTTTTGTTTGTCCGGGACACGATATAATTAAATTATTGATCAATCCATTGTGARGCATCCTTTGGTATGAGGGATTGCGATGGCAATGAAAGCTTGGAACCCTACCGGACTGTTGATTTGAGGAGTAATTATACATTAAATTCGTTTCCTTATAATTCCGCTGTTTTACGGTAAGTTTTCATATCTTTAAGTAATAATTCTCAATTTTTGTTTAATATGTATAGTACTATTATTCCGTTGAGAAGAATGCAGATGTAGTAATATTATTTTCTACCAAAATAGATCAAACGTTATGAAAAGCTCCCGGATTATAAAAAATAACAAATCAGTCATCATTGTAATAGGGGATAATTGGCAAAAAGGCTAGAAACCTTTAAGGATAAGTCAGATATGTGACTATATATTTTTTTGCGAAAAATAAACATAAAGCAGTACTGCTTTGCATTAAAATGCCGTAAACCAAACTTATTGTTTAGTTAACTTTCGAACTTATTGTTCTAAATTCTTCTCTCTAAAAACCTTTGAATAATCGATGTACACTGTAAGTCGCATCTTTTTTAAAGTGCTACTTGCATGAAAATGGCCTTATTTCAAAACTTCAAGCAATACAAATATATGACTCACATATATCTATTAAAAACAATTGCGGGAAAATATTTGTTTTGGAATTGTCCCACATCAGATAAATTTTGATTCAAAAGATGGAAAAACAAAAGGATGGAGTAAATGACGTCATCTACTCCAACATTTTTTGCCCAAATTATTAAGGATTTGTATAAATATCTTCTTAAAATCTGTTGCTTTATGGTTATTAGACCCATATGGATAGTTCTATTTGATTTCCAAGTCTTTTCTAATGTTTCGCAATTTTTGTCCAAGTAGCCCTCTAAGTAATCGTAGTAAAATAAATTATCTTCTTTGGGATCAAAATGTAAGTATCAGTAATAAATGGATCAGTGGGATCAGATTCTTGTTAATATCGACAAAATGTTTTTTTTTCTTTTTCATGAATCTACAGGTGTGAGAGATGAAATTGTACTGCGTTTAAAGATTTCCTTAACAGGATCAAACCTTCTTTCCATCCCTTGGTCAACACTGACGTTTTCCGTCGCAAATACCCATTACATACTTGGGTGGGTCTACCGTAGTAGGGAGCGGGATTTCACATGTTTGCTTAAGACATGATTATGAATGTGGTCAGTGCAATGGTCCTGTTAATTCCTCTCTACATTCAAACAATTTCTGCTTTTTGYGAAATGTACCATTTCGTTGTCACTGAGAAACTTGCCATGGAAGGTCACGTGATCAAGACTGTTACCAAACCCTTTGACAGACTCTGCTGGAGTGACTGTGTTTGGCTGCCATCGTGCTTGTCTATAAATGTTAGAAAAACTAGTCTAGGGATGTTTGAATGTGAGCTGAATAACTCGAGCAGGGTGAATGGAACTCTAAACAAGATGGCSCCCAAASAAGGATGGTTTTATCACGAAATGGAGGTACGTGCTCGGAGAATCCCATACCATCAGTATGTAAGGGAGATCGATTAAAAAAAATTATGTTATTTAAAAAATGTTATTTATATTATTGCTCTTTTAAGGAAATTAATRACATTAACTGTGAAGCCTGTGAATGCAAAATAAAGAAAGGTGAGCAAGTTGAAAAACTATCATTTTTAAAGTCAATTCGTTTGTAAAAATCCAGCCGATATTTTATGGAAATTGCCTTATGCCCTTGCAAAAGTAGTGACCGTCTTAGTAGCAAAAAGGTCCAATGAACATCTCAACTGATGAAACCACTTTCATTTCMAGAATTAGGGAATGGATGGTATCGCTATGGCAACTCCAAAATCAAGCTTTTTACAGAGAAGAAAAACTGGACCGATGCTCGTAGCCATTGTCAGTCATTAGGTGGTGATCTTCTCTCTATTACCAGCTCACACGAGAATGACTTTATCAACGATGTTTTTGTGAAGACCTTGGATTCAAACAACGCGACCGGTAATGGTAAGAGAGAATCTCTATATTGTGTTTGTACATAAATGTCAAGATTTTAGACAGTGAGACCAGCAGATGTGTAAATTGTTTTGTCGAATGTGAAACTAGACCTCAGTTTACTATGACTGCAGGGCTCGTGCAGGGTTTTCACGAACGTTATCAAGGAGTTTTTCTAAGGACATTTCTCCAGTTTTTCAATTTTCAAGGACTTTCATTTACCCTTGAAAATTGATGTTAAATTCCAGCACTTTTCAAGGAGTTTAAGGATCTTCACGAACCCTGTTCTAGATGATCGAAGAAAAACAAAAATGAATGTATACCTTTTATCTTGTTTTAAAAGATTTACCATGGCCAGGAATTTACTGGAAAATGAACGGAGCCGAGKCCGAAATAAAGTAAGTATGTTGCATGGCCAAACATTGATGGTTCATGCCAAACCAATCGGTTCTTGATGTATAGTGAAACGCTTTAAAACTGGCTCCATCTAAAATGTGATGATCAATTCGAAAAATTCCCACACCACAAAACAAGGTGATCATGATCAAACGGTAGCTTAGCAACGGTTAATCCAAATTGTCTTAACCTATTAATTCCTGGCATATAAGAAACCACATTCTTTTTTTAATTTGATAATGCAGGTTACTTGGAGACGCTGGGAATGCCAAGTACATTTYCGATGGCAAAGAAAACGCCTTGTATCTAAATGGACACCATGCATATGCAAGATTTCCAGGGGTGACGCTAAATCCCGAAGGATTCTCTATGGCTGTATGGCTGAGGCCTTTAAACCAAACCAAACAATATATAGCTGCAATTGGGATGTATAACAACGTATACTTTAAGGGCTTGATTAAAATTATGCACATACCTTTAGATCAAGGCATGTCTGTAACAATAAAGAACAAGTTTGCTGCGCATAYATAGTAAGTATACGACTTAAGTACCGAGATTCAGTGGTCGACTCGTCCCAATTAGTTCTCTCCTTCTYTCGCAAGCGAGAGGCAACACAATCATGTCTTTCTTCGTCCAATTATTCTTTGCGATATATAGCTGTTTCAAAATAGGTTGTCGGATGAAATGGCGAATGTCAATGGTCGAACGGCGATTGCACGACCGAAAGTAGTCATGGGTTTTGCTATTCTAGTTGAAAGGCAATAGCAACTGATTTGTACTGTAAGATCGTCTGTGGTAAACATTGGCTCCATTTAGTCTCCATTTCTATGTAAGGCTAATCCAATAAGTGAACTTTTGTTTATCAAAACATTGTAACCATAGTCCCTTTCGGTCGTGCAATCTTCCTTCGACAATCGCCGTTCGCCGTTCTCCCCGACAACGTTTTTTGAAATAGCTGTACAAGAAAAAGACGCGGAAGACGATTTTGGACGAGTCAGACTTAACACTGTTAAGTCAACAATAAAAACATCAACAATACTGAAGTATACTTGAATTATACGGCTTATTCCCTGCATATTTGTGCTATTACCAAATTAACATCWCTGATCATTCTTTTCTTTCAGTTTTGAACAAAACCAATGGRGACATTTTGCAATTACTTGGAAAAATACCACATCGATATTGAAGTATTTCTATCAAGGAAAGAGGAAAAAAATGGTCGAACGACCTGATTTATCTCCTATTGTTGTTACAAGTGATGACCATTTTCTGGCAGGAACAAATGGCAACTATTCGACTCTTACAAAGACCTATCTTGGGGCTCTTAAACACGTGATGATTGCAAACAAAACACTTCAAGAATCTGATATACAGACTGCCATGTGTAAGTTATATTCACATAATCATAATTTCTGATATCCAATCTTTTTCAAGTACAAACAACATGGATCTTAACCCAAAGAAGTGTAAAGAAATGTCAATTGACTTCTTACATTACAAYAGTTGTGTATGGCAACCCATCATAATCGCGGGTATGCATATTGAATCTGTCAAGTCTTTCTAGTTACTGGGGGTATATATTTCATCTGACTTAACATGGTCTACCCACTGCGATTATATCATCAAGAAAGCCAACAGGTGCCTCTATGCTTTGAGGAAACTTAACAAAAGCGGTGTTC